AGCCACGCCCCCAGCCCCTCACTGGGGGATTCTAGGCAGGGGCTCTATCACTGAGCCACGCCCCCAGCCCCTCACGGGGGTGGGGTGGGGTGGGGGGGGGGGGGGGGGGGGATTCAAAACAAGCGTTCTGCTTCTGAGCACATCTTAGCATTTCACTTGCAGAGTCTAGCCAGGCGCTCTCAGTTGAGCCATTCCCTCACCCCAAAAGGTGAAAGACTAAAACAAACAACAACATGACAACAATATTCAGACTCGGCTTACTGTAGCCCAGGCTAGCCTCAGATTCCTGCCTTAGCCTTCCAAGTGCTAAGATTACAAGCATGAGCCTTCAAGCCCAGCTTGCCTTCCTGCTTCCTATTAACCCTTTCATCAATCTTTTTAACCTAAGCAGCCCCACTACACATGGAAGATTTCACACTGCCCAAATACTTGGGGTAGCTTTAGGCCTTGTCCCAGGCTATCTTTCCTACCTATTTTTTTTCCCCAAGATTTTTGTTTTCTTTTTACTCTGTGTATGTGTTTCTGTGTTGGGGGCTGTGGATGTCTATGTGCACCTACGTGCAGGAGCCCTTGGAGGCCAGAGGCGTCAGATTACCATAGAGCTGGAGTTACAGTTCTGAGCCACCACATGTGGGTTTGGGGACTCGAACTCAGATCCTCTACAAGAGCAGGGGGTGCTCTTACCAGTCGACCTATCTCTCCAGACCCCCTACCTTACTTTCTTGACCTGTGCTTTCACACCCCTCCACCCAGCTGGCTGATCACCTCACAGAACCAGCAATGACACCCAACCCCCACCTCTCCTCCTTCAACCCTCCCTGAAATCACCTGCTCCTGTGACACCATATCCAGGAAGCCTCTTTGTGCCCCACCCGCAATGCTAGGTCGTGAACCTCCTTGGGTTCCCCCTGACGCTCATGTTGCCTCTATCATGGTGCCTCTGCCTAGCACTGGGCTTTCTAAGCTAGTTCCAGCCATGTCTAGTGGAGGAAACCTCAGGAAAAGGTGTCAGAGATGTCTAGAGGACCAGTCCCCTCTCTGCTACTCCCAAGGGCTCCTCTGCTGCCCTGGCCTCGTGGGTTAGAGATGGAGACACAGACAGGGTTCCAGTCACAGGGGCTGAGGGGGCCAAGCCAAGCCCAGTGGCTCTGTGAAACACGCTGAGAAACTTGGGTTATTTTCATTGAGCATAGGGAGAGAGGGCTGGAGAGGGAAAGGGAGAGGCCAGCGTGATTAATGAGACATTCCTCTCGGTCCCTCATTGGAGGGAAGCCAGGCAGAAGAATGGTTGTCAGGGAAACACATTCTTTTCTTTCTCCTGGGTCCTCTGGCCTGTGTCACTCAGGAGGAGTGGTGTGGCGTTTCGGGAGGCCAAGAGTGCAGTGTGAGACACCAGAGGGCACTGGACATCTTCTGGGTTGAATGTTCACCTCACAGAGGGGAAACTGAGGCCAGGAGAGATGGGCAGAGCTTCCCGATGGGGGTGACATAGCAAATGAGGACTGAGTGCTGGGTATGGGCTTCTGTCTTGCTCCCAGAACTCAGGGACATCGAGGCTAGGATAAGCAAGGAGAGATGGACGGGAGGTACAAGGTCATGGACCGGGTTCAGTAGCTCTGGCTTGTCTAACTATCCTTGTCTGACCTCTGACCTCTAAACCATCCACAGCCCATAGTCATCTCTCTCTGTCTCTCTCTCTCTCTCTCTCTCTCTCTCTTCCTCTCTCTCTCTCTCTCTGTCTCTCTCTCTCTCTCTTTCTCTCTCAATCTTTCTCTTTCTTTTTTCCTTTAAAACAGGATTTTATTCTAAAGCCCAGGCTGACCTAAAATTTGAAGTAATCTTTCTTTTAACCTCCCTGATGCCAAAATGTAGTAAAAATATAGACGTCTTCAAAAATAGCTTTAAATGATTATCTTATTATGTGAGAATGGGTGTTTTACCTGAATGTATAGTATATGTGCACCAAGTGTGTGCCTGTTGCCTAGGGAGGTCAGAAGAAGGCATCAGACCCCCTGGAAGCCATCCATGTGGTTGCCGGGAATTGAACTCAGGTCCTCTCGAACAGCAGACAGTGCTCTTAACCACTGAGCCATCTCTCCAGACCCTAAGACAGGTTTTATTGCACTAGTTTATCATGTGTGTGCTGGAAGAAGGGGGCTGTGGACATGCCCTAGCATGTGTGTGAAGGTCAGAGGACAACTTTTAGGAGTTGGTTCTCTGTTCCCCACGTGGGTTCTGGGGACTGAATCTGCGGCCTGTGTTCTAACAGCTCTGCTCTGCTGACTGATGAATCACGGTGCAGTCATCCCCTGAGCCTGGATGTTTTTCCTTTTTCACAAAGAACTTGTTTTTGACTGACGAGCTATGAAGTTATGGGCCAGTGGGTGTCATGGCATTTCCTTATATAGAGTCCCCGGGGAGCATTTAATAAAACGTTCTTGGGACATAGCTCAGTAGTAAAGCACCTGCCTAGAATCCCCTGGTAAGAGACTGGGGGTGTGGTTCAGTGGTTAGCGCCTCTGCCTAGAATCCTCCCAGCAAAGGCCTGGGAATGTGGCTCAATGGTAGAGCATTTGCCTTGCATGTAGGGGGACCCAAGTATAACCCCCAGCAACACAATAGAGTAATAATAAATACATAAAGTTCTTCCCACTGGGTGCGGTAGCTAGTACTTGTAATCCTAACACTTGGGAGGTAGAGGCAGGAAAATTACAAGTTGGCTGCCAGTCTGGGTTACATAGCAGGACCCTGTCTCAAGAAGAAGAGAACCAAAGTGACCCACACCTTTACTCTCAGCATTCAAGAGGCAAGGGCATTCAGGGAGCTCTGAGTTCAAGGCTAGCCTGGTCTACGTAGTAAGTGCCAAGCCAGCCAGGGCTAAATAGTAAGACATTGTCCTGCTATGTCCAAACAAAGTCAAAAACCTCTTTACCACATGGTTGGTGCTAGAGGCTCCTCCCAAAGTTCCCAGTACTCCTGTTGTATGGAACCCTGGGCAAAATGTCCCACCAGGGTTTGATGGGGCCCAGCAGCTGCTGTTCTGGACCACTGGATTCTATGACACTTCAGCCAGCAAAGCCCAGGGCAGGAGATCACAGGTGGTTTCCTACGATGGCCTCCAGATGACCTGAGGTAGGAATCTACCTTCATGAAACATTAGGAATTTGCCAACACCCTTGCGCCACCGGCTGCTATGAAAACAACATTCTCGCGGCTGACGGAGCTGTTAGTGCTGTGGCTATCCATCTTCTCCAGCCCCTCGGACAGGTACACGCTTTCCTTTGGTATTTAGTTCATTCCTGCCATGTAATCCCACTGTGGTGTCAGAGTCCGGGCAGGGCTGGGACAGCAGCGAGCCTGTGACAATGAGTGCCTGTCAGTGAGCAGTTGCTCGGCTGTGCTAGCGAGGCCAGCTTCTTACATTTTTATTTTATTTTCAATTGTTTAAACAGGATGTGTTCAGTCAGAGCTGTATATGAGTACACTGTAGCTGCCTTCAAACACACCAGAAGAGGGCATCAGATCCCATTACAGATGGCTGTGAACCATCATGTAGTTGCTAGGAATTGAACTCAGGACCTCTGGAAGAGCAATCAGTGCTCTTAACCACTGAGCCATTTCCTCCACCCCCTTACTCAGGGTTTCTTTTTTCCTTTTTTTTGGGGGGGGGAGGGGCAGGTTTCGAGACAGGGTCTCTCTGTATAGCCCTGGCTGTCCTGGAACTCACTCTGTAGACCAGGCTGGCCTCAAACTCAGAATCTGCCTGCCTCTGCCTCCCAAGTGCTGGGATTAAAGGCGTGTGCCACCACTACCTGACTATTAGTCAGGGTTACTTTTCATTTTTGCTTTTCTTTTTTAAAGATTTATTTATCTTATGTATGTGAGTACATTGTCACTATCTTCAGACACACCAGAAGAGGGCATCGGATCTCATTACAGATGGTTGTGAGCCATCATGTGGGTGCTGGGAATTGAACTCGAGACCTCTGGAAGAGCAGTCAATGCTCTTAACCGTTGAGCACGCACACACTCATGCATGCACGCACAGATGTCCCTACTCCAGAACTCCTTTTTCTGAGAATCTGATAGAACTCTCCCTGGGATGGTACACCCATTTTTGGTGCATAAAGATCTCCATTCTCGCTTCTCTGTGTGTTTAATTTTCTGTTTTTGAGGCAGAGCCTCAGACTGTATGAGAACGATCTTGATGTCCAGCTTCCCCATCCATCTCCAGAGTGCTGGCCTCAAAATCCCAGTAATTCTCCAACCTCCGGGCCCTAACCGACACCCCCACCGCCTTCCCGTCTCCCCCACCACTCCCACCCTAGCACGGATCCCATCCCCTCCACCCCACCCTGTGCCGCCAAGCCTGCCTTTTCCCATTTTCTTCCCATTCTCTACTTTGTAGAGACTGCAAAGGCATACTCTCGCCCCCGTGTGGCGGCGGCGAGAACCAACCCGGACCGCAAAAGTACCTACAGCAAACCAGACACAGGGAACCAGGATCACAAAGTCTGGGGGTCCTTTCTCAAGTCTAGCTGATCCTTGAGCCCTGAGAGCATTTATTCATACGCCTTAAAAATAAAAATCTGCGGCCGGGCGGTAGTGGCACACACCTTTAATCCCAGCACTTGGGAGGCAGAGGCAGGCGGATTTCTGAGTTCGAGAGTTCGAGGCTAGCCTCGATCAGAGTGAGTTCCAGGACAGCCAGGGCTACACAGAGAACCCCTGTCTCGAAAAAACAAAACAAAAAATAAAATAAAATAAAAATCTGTTACTTATTTTGTATTTGCAGGTGAAAAGGTGCGGAGGATGCAAAGGGGCGGGGGGGGGGGGGGAGCATGCATGCCTTCGTTTTGTAGAGGTCAGGGTCAGAGGACAACTTGTCAGAGCTGGTTCTCTCCTCCCACGTGGGAACAATTCATGTCATCGGACCTGATGGTGTTTCGCAAGTCCTTCATTCATCTTTTAACTCAGCAAATACCAGTGGCCCATGGAAACAAGGACGGGTGCTGGGACAAGTTGGTGTGGGGAGGTTATCTCTCTCTCAATCCCAAGGGAGGTTGCCCTCTCCTGGTCCACGGGGCTCTGGGTTCAAATCTAATCCAATTTCAAAAGCTGCTCCATCCACAACGCTTCTCCAGCCACTGGAGCATTTGGCTGGGTGCAGCTTCTATCTGTACCTCCGAGATCACCTCTGGATGCTGGGGGTTCGGCAGATGGGGAACAGGACTCAGAGGCAGAGGTTCATCGATTTGACAAAGATCTGTCACTGAGGCCTGTGCCAGGAGGGAGAGTCGCTGTGACCACTGGATCCTGAAGTGTGAGCAGGTTTCTGTTATTCCAAAAGCACAAATTGGCGGCAATCAAGAGACAGCGCCAGGGCACCACCACATGCTCCTGTCGTAAAGCCAGCCGGAGCAACACTCCTGCATAGTAACATTTACTAACTTCCAAAGAGCTTGATCAGACAAGCCCCGAGGGACATGGGGTAGGGTGGCTAAACAGTGTGGGAGGGCAAGTCAATGAGCCACAAGGGTCGCCATTAAGGAGAACTTGGTAGCTCTGCGGGCTTGGCCTGGATGAGCTGGAAATACATTCTTCCCTAACCCCTAAGAGGACAGGAACGCAGATGAAGGCCGCCACGTTCTCGCGGGCGCCCCCGCGTGGTGATGTCAGGAACCACTGGCTTTGTCCCGGAGATCTTTTCCTTTGATGGAGTGTACAGTGGGTCTCAAAGAGCCCACCACTAGGGTACTTGGGAGAGAGTGACCCTGAGGATAATTTGAGGACATGGCATCTCCCCAACTGCAATAGATCCCACATCTGGACAGGTGTCAGTCTGAGATTCAAAGCAAGGTAGAGTCCTCCAAAGTCACAACCAGCTTTGCCCGAGGCCGTGTCTAACACTGTATGTGGTACGTAAAGGCAGATGTGCAATAAATGGTGCGTAGTGAGCAGAGAAGTGTGCAGAACCACCTCAGTGTGCACAGGGGCTGGGAGAGGCAGCCGAGCTGATGTTAATGTCCATTTACACTCTCGAGCCAGTGCACGGCTGAGACCCATCCTCAGAAGGAGCGAGAGGACAGAAGGGGTATTTCTGGAACTGCAGCCCAGCCCTGGTTGTTGGGTAGGACGGAAGATGGTTCGAGTGTCATGATGGGCTGGGCCCAATCTACTAACTGCCCAACAAGGCCGCCTCCCGGGGTTGGGTGCTTTTGTTTTGGTATGGTTTGTCTTGTTTGAGGCAGGCTTCTGCTACTAAGCCTGGACTAGCCTGGAGCACATGACCTTCCTACCTCTGCCTCCTAAGTGTAGGAATCACAGCCTGTGTTACCTGTCTCCTCCTGAGTTCGCTGAAGTCTGGCTAAGGTGGGGATGACCTGGCCTCCTCCTCTAGCCTCACGTGTCGGAGGGTAAGTAAACCTGAGCTGACCGTGATCGTCTACAAATGTGCTTACAGACAAAGGCCTAGTAAGGGACAGGACCAGAAGCAGAAGATCCACGACCCCACCCCATCCTCCACCCCACAGAACCTTTGTACCTGCTCTCTGCCCCTCACCCCAGGCCCAAGCCGCAGAGACCAGGCTATGGGCTGAGACTGGGAAGGGGGTCCAGGCCAGGCTCACAGCCCACCGGCAGTGTGGCAGCCTCGCTGGGGGGGATATGGTGAGTCATGTAACGTTTTCCCATGAAGGAGCCAATCCGCAACTGCTCGGGGGCTTCCGCAGGCCACCACAGGCTGGAGCTGCAGGTGAGAGAAGAAAGAGGGGGACACGTTACATCCCTAACCAAAGGCCACCACGTTCTAGCTGTGTCCCCTCCCCGGAATACGCACCCCTCGGCCTGTCCCCTCACCTGCCCTCCTTTTTATTCGGTACATGACATATGTAGTGCATAGGTATATATATATATATATGTATGTGTGTGTGTGTGTGTGTGTGTGTGAGCATGCATGCATGTGCCTGTGTGGAGAACAGGGGTTGAGTTGGGGGGTGTCTTCCTCTGTCACTATAACCTTATCTGTAAGGAAAAACATTATCTGTTGGGAAGGGAGGTGCACATGCCATGGTGTGTGCACAGAGGACACAGGACAACCAGCAGGAAACAGTTCTCTCCTTCTGCCATGTGGGTCCCAGGGATCAAACTCAGGTCATCAGGTTTGGTGGCAAGAGACTTTACCCACTGAGCCATCCTGCCAGCATTATCTTACCTTTTTGAGCCAGGGTCTTTAATTGAAACCTTTATTGACTGACTGGCCACAGATTCTCGGGATCCCCATGCCCCTCCCCGTGAGTTAGGTACAGACACACACAGCCACATCTGGATTTGGCCACAGATTCTCGGGATCCCCGTGCCCCTCCCGTGAGTTAGGGTACAGACACACACAGCCACATCTGGATTTTGTTGAGAGCTGGGGATTCAAACTCGGGTCCTTGTCTGTGCAGGAAGCACTTTACTTAGTTAGCTGTTTCCCCAGTCCCCCTTCCCTCTGTTTTGGAACCAGCAGGAGAGGCACCTCATCCAGGGTACCCTGATAACCTACCCTAGTGGCAGTTATCAAGACACTCCAGGGGTCATGGAGAAAAGACGAAGACTGGGGAAAGAACCCTGGCCCAGCCTGTAGCATCTACTGTAGCATCTGCCTGCCACCCGGGTGACAGACGCAGACTAGCACTTCCCTCCACACTGCCTGGAAGGGCATCAGCCAGCCTGGAACTGCAGGACTCAGGAGAGGCTTTCGGGATCTAGGGATTGGGACAGGGAAGGGTCCAGGTGGAAGAGGTGCCTACAAGGTGTCGCCATCACTTACAAACGCGTAGTGGAGGCTGCCAGGAAAGCCAGAAGCAAGAGGCCGGCCAGGGCAGAAAGGATGGAAGAGATGATGATCATACAGCCACTCCGACGGCCGGGCCATGTGTCAATGGAGTTGGGGTTCTTTCCTGCACACACAGGATCCATTCAGAGGCTGCCCACTCACCCCCTGGCTGATGGTCACTCCCCATACAAGCTCAACACACTTCAAGGCTTGGCTGCCCCACGGCCCCACAGAGCCTCCTGAGTCTGTTTATCTTGTCCATTTCCCCCAGCCAGGAGCAGCCATTCCTCCAAGTTCTTCTACACTGGACTCACCTTCTAGACCATTCCTTCCAGTTCCCTACCACAGGCCCAGATACACCAGGCAGATCTCAGGAGTCACCTTGTTACCATCTTGCTCCCCACAGCCTGGAATCGAAGGCCTTCAGGTGACAGGCATCTGTCACCCTACCCAATTGCCTTGGTAGCCTGACTCTGAAGCAAGTGCCACCCCCAACACGGCCTCTAGGTGGAGGAGGATGCTTGGGCCCTTCTCCCTGCACTCAGTAGAGAGGGCCTGGGGCTGAATGAAGCTGGAGCTGGGCACCCAAGCAAGGGTTGATAGCTGTCAGGATGGAACTGGTCGGGCACACCTGTAATCTGTTACTTGGGAGGATAAGGCAGGGAATCTCAAGTTACAGGCCATCCTGGCTACAGAGGAGATTTAAAGTCAGCTTGGTCAACTTAGACCATATCTCAATATATAAAGTAAAAAGAGGCCTGGAATTGTACTTCTGTGTAGAGCCCCTGCCTAGAATCACCCAGTGAGGGAGTAGAGCCATGGCCTGGTGTAGAACAGTACTTCCTTGGTGGGTATAAGATTCAATGCCTAGTACTAAGGGAAAAAAAAGTCTGGTGCCATTGTGATGTTCCAACCCAGGTCCCACCCTTCAGCAAGAGTTTCAGTTATGCGTTGAGTCAGTCTTAGATCCCTCACCCAGCACTACCTTGGTGGAGATAAATGGGATTGGACCACTTTGTCTCAGCCTTGGGTGGGCCGCCAACATCCATCACAAGGAATTTCACACTGAAGAGACAGGAAAGCAATGGGGACAAGAGTAAGACTCGGATGTCGTAAGTGGGCATGGGGCACCGGCCTGATATCCTAGGTACTCCGTAGGCTGAGGGAAGAAAAACAGAAGTTTAGTGGCTGCCTGGTAGCTTTTTGAGACCTTGTCTCAAAATAAAAGATAAAAAAAATGTTGAGGAGTCAGCTCAGCGGTAGAGCCCCTGCCTAGAATCCCCCAGTGAAGGGCTGGGGGCGTGGCTCAGTGGTAGAGCCCCTGCCTAGAATCCCCCAGTGAGGGGCTGGGGGCGTGGCTCAGTGGGGGAGCACCATCCTAGAATGCACAAACTCTTGGGCTCAATACCAGTGTAACAAAATAGAAGCTTAGGTCCCTGGAGTTTGTGTGGCCAACCATTTTGAAAAGAGGCTAGGCTTCAAATTAAGAGCCTTGGTAAAGGCATGTGGGTGGAGTTAAGGGTGTGGTCAGAGCCCGAGGGCCTGGAGAGCAGGGAGGGAAGACTTGGCACTATGCTATCTCTCAGGGGTGGGAGCTCTGGGAAGAGAGCAGAGTGGGCCCAACGGAGCGCTGGAGGGAAGCCAGCACTAGTGGCTGATGGGAAGGGGGCGGGGTGGAATGGCTGTGAGGAAGATGCTATTGCCAGCATGGATAAAGGAACGGACGGCTCCCACTATGAAGTCTCTCTGAGGACACCTGGGCTCTTCATCTCGTGATGAACACTGAAGAGACCCTTGTCTGAATTCTAGCACAACAGGCCTTGGTTTCTTCATCTGCACTATGGGTTCGGAATTCTGTCAGATCTGCTTGAGACCAGTGGCAGTGGTCTTATCCAGAAATCCACATCCCCCTTTTAGAACACATCTGAAAAGGACTCTCTGAGTTTTGTTGTTGTCGTTGGTTGGTTGGCTTTGTTTTGTTTTGTTTTGTTTTGTTAGATAATTGTCTCATGTAGCTCAGGCTAGCCTTGAACTCAATATGCAGCTGAGTATAACCTATATTCTTGGGTTTCCTGCCGATTCACCGCTTAAATGCTGGGATTCCAGGCCTGCACCACTACTCTTGGTTTCTATGGTGCTGGGATGGCCCCGCGGGCTTCATCCATGTAGACTAAACACCAACCGACTGAGCTGCATCCCAGCAGCTGGTTGCTTTAACACGGTCTTCAGCAGTAGCTTGTCGCAAACTCATTATGTACCAGCACCTGGCCTTGAACTCACGATCCTCCCACCTCTGTCTCCGGAGTGCTGCGGTCACAGCAGTGTGTCACCTTGATCAGCTTATGGAAAGGTCTTTTTGGTACCTCACTACGCAAAGAAAGAAAAAGACAACTGACAAAGAGGTAGAGCTATATGGCAGGCCATAGTTCAGAAGAAGGGGACAGGGTCTGAATCTTAGACCAGGAAGTCCCACCTCCTCACTGAAGACACCCAATCCCAGGGCAAGGGCTCCAGACAACCCACCTGTAAGGGCCCCGGCTGGGGAGGGGAGCATTGCAATAGGGTCGCTGGTAACAGCCAAAGTCATTGCCCACCCGAAGCACGGGGACACCTCCACTGCCACCGGCCAGGTCCTCACACGGCAGCTGATCCAGGGACAGGGGTAATGTCATATAGTGGCCGTCAGTCAGCAGCTGTGGGAAGGTCGGGATCTTAGCAGCGGTCTGTGGGTTCTGAAAGTCCCTGGAGGCTGGAGGAAAAAGGGACAGATAGAGGCAAGAGCAGGTACCAGGGCTGGGGCTGTTAAGTATATTAATAAGATGGATGGGGTGATGGCTGTGCGGTTAAAGGCGCTTGCGGCCAAGTCTGACGACCTGAATTTGAGCCTCAGGACCCACGTGGTGGAAGGAGACAACTGATTCCCTCAAGCTGTCCTCCGAATTTCCCACGAACACGCCTGGACTGCTACATACAATAATAAACACATGCAAAGCAATTCTTTTAAAGGAAGAGAGAGCAGCAGACGTCTTCTGTCCCAGGATGCAATCTTCAGAGGGCTTGGACTGAGCTCTCCAAGTGACACAATGGTCTTAGGGCAGCGGTTCTCAACCTGTGGGTCACGACCCCCTTCGTTGGCTCCAGCAACCCAGGGTCGCATATGAGATATTTACACTCCAATTCACAGTGGTTGCAAAATTACACTTCTGAAGTAGCAACGAAATAATTTTGTGGTTGGGGGAGTCACCACACCATGAGGGTGTCAGCATTAGGAACGTTGAGAATCACTGTCTTAAAGTGACCAGTGTCTCAAAGGGCGAGCTGTGATTTAACACTCAGTTTGGTAGCAATGCATAAACCCTGTCCTCTATCCCTGGTACCACATGAACTGGGCATGGTTGTGCACGCCCAACCAGCCCAGCAATTGGAAGGTGGAGGCAGCAAGCCCAGAAGTTTAAGGCCTCCTGGGCTACAGGAGACCCTGTCTCAAAAAAAAAAAAAAAAAAGGAGAGGTGGTCCCTGTTAATCCCAGAGGACTGGCATTGCCCACCCTGCACTCAACACATTTCTGGCCAGGGTACAGCCCTGACCCCCACATCCAGAGACAAAGTCAATATTGCCATCCACCCAGAACCTCAGGTATCTCCGCTCAGCCCGTGCCCTCACCCCAAGGCCCCACGTCCTCACCACGCACCATTGCTGAAAGCCACCACTAGCCAGATGGTGTCGTTAGCCGAGGCATGCTCATGGAAGACACACCGAGGCTGCTCCAGAGAGAACGTAGTGGCTGTGACCTTCCCTTCCAGGTCCCAGCCTGTTATCTGCGGTGTGTAGGGAATCAGGTCTGTAGCCATGGGGGACAAAGGTGAGAATCGAGATAAGCTTGGCAGTTCTGTGGGGCCCCCCCTCCCCTCCCCCACTCTTCCAGTCTAGGAGGTTTCCAGTATCCCGGGGCCTCAGGTTTGGCTAAGGGTATCCATTGCAAGAGTTCCACTCACCTAGACTCAGGCTTTGGGGGAGCCACATAAGTACCAGGAGAAGCAGGGGCCGAGGGTGAGGCTGCCTCTGGGTGAGCGCCATGACTGCCACAGCACTTGGTCAGGGCTGACCAGGCTTAGGGGCTGGTCCTGTCTCACTCCACCTCCAACACCTCTGGCCTACAGTTGCTGGTCACGTGGACGGCCATGAGAGCAGGAAAGACCTGAACCGATGACTTCACCCCTCCCTCCCCATCACAGGGAGGGGCACAGTGGGCTCCTGCACAGGGGCTCCACTCTAGAACTAAACGAAGGGAGGGGAGCCATTTAGGGTCGGCCTTCATGTGACCCCCCCCCACCTCCACCCCAAAGCTGATGTCTAAATTGTGGTACCACCTTACTCCCTGGCCCTGGGAGGGAGACTTCCCTCCTCTCTCTGGACCCAAAACCACATGCCTAGGATTCCTGAGCTCTGGGTGCCAGGAGCCAACCTCTAGCCATCCATGCTCATCCAGAAAGTGAGGAGAGGGGAGAACCTGACCTGCCCCAAAGCAGCTCCCAGACACTGCCCTCCATGTAACCTGTGCCCCATGGAGACATATCTTCCTCAGCTCTGAATGCCCATTTCCGTCTCCAGTGGGAGATCTAGCCCTCTGAAAGGACAGAGCAGCCTTCGGTGACAAACATTTTGTTTATCCAAACCCTATAGGTCTTATTCTATGTTGTTTTAAGTTTGTTAGTCTGTTTTTAAGACAGGTTCTCATGTCATCCAGGCTGGCCTCAAACTCACCATGTAACAGAAGATGACTTTTAAACTCTCTCTCTTACTTTTTTTCTTTTTTTCCTTCTTTCTTTTTTCCTTCTTTCTTTCTTTCTTTCTCTTTTCTTTATTTTGGGGGTGGGGTGGGGTAGGGTTCAAGATAGGGTTTCTCTGTGTAGCCCTGGCTGTTCTGAAACTCACTCTGTAGACCAGACTGGCCTTGAACTCAAAGATCCACCTGCCTCTGCTTCCCAAATGTTGGTATTAAAGGCATGTGCCTCCACCGCCTGGCAGTCTTTGAACTCTTGATGCTCCTGTCTTTGTCTCTCAAGTGCTGGGATCACAGATAGATATTGCCAGCTGCATGCAAGCAACCTGGCAGCAACCGAGTCATACTCAGCCCAAAGGTTTAATTTATTTATTTACTATATGACTATATGTAAGTACACTGTAGCTGTCTTTAAACACCCCATTAGAGGGCATCAGATCTCATCTCATTCCAGATGGTTGTGAGCCACCATGTGGTTGCTGGGATTTGAACTCATGACCTCTGGAAGAGCAATCAGTGCTTTTTTTTTTTTTTTCGAGACAGGGTTTCTCTGTGTAATCCTGGCTGTCCTGGAACTCACTCTGTAGACCAGGTTGGCCTCAAACTCAGAAATCCGCCTGCCTCTGCCTCCCAAGTGCTGGGATTAAAGGCGTGTGCCACCATTGCCCAGTGCAGTCAGTGCTCTTAACCACTGAGCCATCTCACCAGGCCCTGTGCATGCTTTTCAAACAGGCCTTGCTAGGAATCTCTCACTGGCTCAGAATTCTTCCTATGTAGTCCAGGCTGGCCTTGAACTCATGATCATGCACTACTATAGTGGCATGGATGTGCCTTTTTTGTTTGCTTTTGAAGACCTGGGTTGGTACACAGTGCCTTACAACCATGCTGATGTAGTCACTTTTCTATTGCTATGACAAAACACCATGCCCAAGTCAACTTATAAAAGAAAGCATTTAGTTGTGCTTACGGTTTGGAGGACTAGAGTCCATGATGGTGGAGCAAAGGCCTGAAATACCTGAAAGTTCACAAACTGATCCTCAAGTAGGAGATAGAAGAAAACACCGGAAATGGCTTTTAAAATCCCAAAGCCCACCCTTAGTGACATACTCCCTCCAGCAAGGCCACATCTCCTAACCCTTTCCAAACAGTTCTACCAAATAGGGACCAAGTATTCAAACATATGAGCCTATGGGGTCCATTCTCTTTCAAACCACCACACATACCCCCAGCCCCTCACTGGGGGATTCTAGGCAGGGGCTCTACCACTGAGCCACGCCCCCAGCCCCTCACTGGGGGATTCTAGGCAGGGGCTCTACCACTGAGCCACGCCCCCAGCCCCTCACTGGGGGATTCTAGTCAGGGGCTCTACCACTGAGCCCCGCCCCCAGCCCCTCACTGGGAGATTCTAGGCAGGGGCTCTACCGCTGAGCCACGCCCCCAGCCCCTCACTGGGGGATTCTAGACAAATACTACTGCTGAATCACCCCCTGAGCTCTTCACTAGGGTATTCTAAGCAAATTCTTTACAGCCCTAGGTCGGTGGTTTTGAGTATTTTCATAAGATTCACAGTAGGGATAGCTCCTTAATGAGAGAACAATTGCCTGGCATTCATATAGCTATGGGTGAAGTCCCCTAACTAAAAAAAAAAATTATTTATTAAATTAAAAAGAAATAAATATTTATAAAGTTGTATGGCCATCAGTGTGAATGCCAAATCTCTTTTATTATTCTAAATGAGGTTTATTCTTAAACAGTTATTCTTGGTCCTCTCCACTCCTCCACTGACTCCAGCGCCTCTACCAACTCCAGATCTTCCTTCTGTCTCACTATACTTTGACTATAATGGACAGCTTATAACAGGGGGCTTTACTATTGGGTTGAAGTACTAAAGACTGAACACAGGATTTAGAGCGCACCAGGCAAGCATTCCATACAACTCTACCCTGGCCTCCTTTCTATTTTTTAGTGTTGGGGACCATTCCAGAGCTTTGCATTTCCCTGGCAAACGCTCTACCATTGGGCTAAATCCTCAGGCTCAAGAAGGAGCCGAAACAAACCTTAAGACAAAAGTGTCCACTGCGAATTGGACCCAGGAATCTCCGGCATGCTAGGGGGTGATAGTCCCACCCCTCTCTTCATTTAAAGCAGGGTTTCTTTAAGCTACCCAGGCTGGGCTGTAAACTCACTCTGTTACCCAAGCACGACCTTGAACTTGCAACCCTCCTGCCTCAGCCTTATAGAACACAGAGCTTGTGGGCGTGAGCAACCAGGCCTGGCTTGTGCTTGGATTATTCTCATTTAATGTTCATTCCATGTGTTTGTGTGCATGGGAGGAAGGGTCTGTGCCTTGGTGTATGTGTGGGGGTGGGAAGTCAGCTGACAGTCATTACTTTCTCTCTTTTTACCATGTAGGACCTGGAGATCCAACTAGGGTCATCAGGCTTGGTGGCAAGAGCACCTACCTAGAGCCATTGTAGGCCCCTTCCTACACTCATTTTATTTTGAGTCAGGTCTACGATACTCAGTATCTTTCTTTCTCTTTCTTCCTTCCTTCCTTTCTTTTTTCTCTTTTCCTTTTCTTTCCTTTTCTTTTCTGAGACAGGGTTTCTCGGAATAGCCCTGGCTGTCCTGGAACTCACTCTGTAGACCAGGCTGTCCTCGAACTCAGAAATCTGCCTCCCAAGTGATGGGATTAAAGGCATGCACCACCACTGCCCGGCTTTCCTTTCTTCCTTCCTTCCTTCCTTCCTCTCTCCCTCTCTCTCTCTCTCTCTCTCTTTCTTGACAGTTTCTGTGTGTAACAGCCCTAGCTGTCCTAGAACTTGCTTTGTAGACCAGGCTGGCTTCGAACTCACAGAGATCTGCCTGCCTCTGCCTCAAGAGTGCTGGGATTAAAGGCCTGTGCCACCATAGCCCAATTGCTCAGTACCTTAATAAGGGTTTTTATTGCTGTGAGAAAACCCCATGACCAAAGGCAGCTAACAACTCTCAGATCATACTCCAAAGGTGTGGATCAAGGGCAGAAATTCAAGGCAGGAACAGAAGCAGAAGCCATGAAGGGACTTTGCACCTGACGGCTGCAGCCTGCTATCTTATCCAGCCCCAGACCACCCGCTTAGGGGCTAGGTCTTCCCATATCAATCAGAAATCAAGAAAATGGCCCACGCTTGCCCACAGGTCAATCTGGTGGCTGCTTCCTCAATTTGAGGTTCCCTCTTGCCAAACAGATCTAGCTTTTGTCAGATTGACAAAACAAAACAACAACCACTACAACCAAAATACTAACCAGGACACTAGGGCTGGCCTGGGCCTGAGACCCAGGACCCTCCTGCCTCAACTTCTGAATAGGAAAATGGCCTGGCTTCCTCATCCGGTGTCTTTGCAGGGCTAAGACATGAGTGGCTCATCTTTTTATGAATGTACTATCACATGCAGATACCAGACTTGGTGGTTTTTTGTTTTTTTTTTTTTTTGGCTGTTTCTACTTTTGGTACATTGCTACACATATTTGCATACAAATTTTATACAGACATATTCTCGTAAAACAACCCTCTGCAGATCCCTGGGAATAGGACTCATGTGAGTTTTTGAGGAACTGGTCCCAATGTGGCAATGTTTTACATATCCGGCAGTAATGGGTAAATGCCCAAATTACCCAGCTAGTACCTAACAGTTATTTTTGCTGTGCTGGGTTTATATTTGGTTTCTTGCTTGCTTTTGAGCTATCTTGTTCTATGTCCTAGAAGTGGTAGAGGCTTTCCCACCTTGTCCTCTGGATGGCTAAGGACGCTTGGCCCCAGTGCCTGGCATGTTTCTCTTAGTTTTGAATTACACTGCCAACCAATCGCTCGGCACCGTTTCAGGGACTTGAGGGTCATTTGTCTCAATTTCAGATAAGTTCTTATGTCTACTGCTTTTTAGATGGGGGAAAAAAAAACCAAAAGCCTCATGAGAATTAGCTGGTTTTTACCACCGAGCCGTGCAGTTCGTGTGACGGTGACGGTGTGCATATGTGTGCATGCCATTGCCCTTGGAGGTCAGAGGCATCGGATGTTCTGGAGCTGGAGTTACAGGCAGCTGTGAGTCATCCAACGTGGGTGCTGGGAACTGGACCCACTTTTTTTTTTTTTGCAAGAAGTATGCACACTTAACTACCAAGCCATGTGTCCAGACCCTGTTCCCCCAACCCCCCCAAAATTGCCAGCTGATGGGGCACACCTTTAATCTTAGTACTCAGGAGGGAGAGGCAGACAAATTCCTGTGAGTTCAAGCCAGCCTGGTCTACAGAGTAAGTTCCAGGACAGCCAGGGCTATAAGGGAAATCCCTTCTCAAAAACCAAATTATTTCTATGGGTGTACGTGTGCACACTTGTGAGGGCACTGGCGTCCTGAGGCTGGAATTGCAGGCGGTTCTGAGCTGCTGGGCCTGAGTGCTGGGAATCAAACTCTGGCCCATCCTCTGGAAGGGCAGCAGTGCTCTGAGCCACCGAGCCTCTCTGGCTCCCGTCTGGTTTTGACATGTTCTGCAGTCTAACTGTTCCTCTTCTGAAACTATGTCATCAGGTGTGCAATTTGAGGCATCCTCTCCAAGTCTCTTCAACAGTAAAGCACTCTGTAAGAGATCGCGTGCGTGCGTGTGCGTGCACGCGTGCATGTGTGTGTGTGAGACGAAATTTGGGAATGGATCCCATCTGCTGTCCTGAGGTGCCATAAGACTGTGGAGTCTGGGGTGCGGCTGAGTTCGGGGCTCTGCCGAGGAAACAGATGGCCTTTGCCCTAGGGCTAACTTATGTGAGTCTTGGGCTCACAATACTTTTAGGTACACCTGAAAATGTCCTTATAAGAGGATGATGGGGAAGAGGACGATAAGCCAGAGGTTGGATCGCTGTAAGATGCACATGACACGGTCACTGCACTAAGTCCCAGTGAGGCCTAGCCACACTCCACCACGGATAGGGAGGGGGACAGGAATCACACCTCCACCTGGAGGAGCTTTGGAAAGTTAGTGACTGCTGGGTAGAGGAGCCATTTTTCCCTAGTGGTGTGCATGGGGCTAAGTCACCCACATTCCTGTAAACCCCTCTTCCAAGTGCGTGGGGCAACTCTAACAAAACTCTGTAGCTCACACACACAGGACATGAACACAGGATGGGGCTTGTCAAGGAGAGGGGGTTAGTAGAGTGGGGGGAGTGATGGCAGAGGGTAACAGGAAGTGAAAATGACCAAAATACAGGAAAAATAAGAACTGCCGTGTATGCTGATCTACACCTGTGTCCCCAGGGAGTAAACAGTGATCCGGTCTCAAAAGCCAGGGCCTTAGAGGACGACCTCAGAGGGTCGCCGTCCAGTCTCCCATAATCACTGGGGAGCACAGAGATGGCCACCCTCCCTGTGTGGACAGCACGTTGTAACGGACATGACCAGTGCTGGGGACACACGGCAAGGGGCATACGTGTGACACAGGAGTCTCGCTATGGAGTTCGGCAGTCTTTGACCTCACTTCATAAACGTGAGTTGAATGAGCATCAACAAAGATGGCTCCTGTCCCACCACACACACACACACACATGCACGCACGCACGCACCTCCCCACAGATGCACGTTGGCTATAGGGTCTTTATTGCAAATAAGATCTGAGGTATGCAAAGCCGGCCAGAAGCTGGGAGTATGGTCGTCCCTGCTCACCGCTTGCTGGGTCACCAGTCCACCCAGAGCTGGATGGGCCATCCCGTCCGTGCACTGAGGTAGCTCCAGCTTACGCTTCCACAAGTACAATACCGAGGGCGCCCATTTTCCAGGCAGACCCCAGCCCAGACAGGATGGTGGCAGAGAGGCAAGAAGCCCAAACTTTAAGAGGGAGGTGCAACCCCAGTGGGCTACACAAACCCAACAAACACTTTTGCCTCTCAACAAGGCACACCTTCCTGCCCACCCGCCCAGGGGCTTTGGGGTAGTTGACAGAGGCGGGCCCGAAGGTCACTGCTGTTCCAGGCAGTCTTCGGTCACTCCCTGGGCAGCGAGCTCGGCCAGCACATTTTGCAGGTAGTTGGGGTCCGGGTAGCCATGGCCTGTCACGTTGCGGTCCATCTCCGTCTTGTGGTGGATCTCGTTCCACACCACAGTGTCGGTCTCACCCGTGGTGCTGGAAGTCCCCACGGTAAAGATGAGTCTTCTCTTCCAGGCCACCTTCAGGAGCTCCAGGACCTGCCAGAAAGAGGGAAGGACATCCCTCTGACGGCCACTGGGGCTCTGCTCAGGCACACTGCCCTTGGCTCAGGAGGTGGCCCAGGTAATGAGCCACACGTGGGGACTCTGGGAGCACTTCCCACCGGCCCAGCCCAGCCCTCTCCGCCTTCATTTCACCCTGAGCTGGTCTTCCCTCCAGATCTGACTGGACCAGCAGCCTCCCTCCTCCTGCAGGCCTCCTACCCCGAGGTCCTCCACATATAACTTGGGGCAAGGAGTGGACCTCAGTGGTAACACAGTTATCTGCGAACTCCACCTCAGAAGGACAGAGAGAGGACGGCTAGCAAGATGGCAGTGGGCTACACAAACCCAATGAACCAAGCTTGATGCTCGGGACCATGTAATGGTAAGGGGAAGGACTCCAGAGCGGTCTTAGGATTTCCGCATGAAAGCCATGTATAGCCCTTACAGCCCCATACCCCAAATAAACGAAGAAAACAACAACAACAACAACAAAACAAGTCCAGCTTATCACCCAGTAGCTGGAAGAGTTTGTGTTTTATTTTTTGAAGAGGAATTAGGGCCTTGCTATATACCTGAGGGTGGCTTTGAACTCTTGATGCTTCTGCCTTCACCCAAGTACTGTAGAAATGTGCACTGTGCCCAGTTTATGGGGATCTGTGCACACCAGGCAAACGCTCACATGGAGCAGCTAGGAGAGCTCCCTCAGCCTTGTCTGGGCCCTGCCCTCCCCAGGCTTATATCCAAGCTCACAAGTCAGCTATTCTAGGGCCTGGAAGCCTCTTCCTCAACTCTAAGTCCTTGCTGAGGTCCCAGACTGGCAGGTGTCCCCAGTGTTTCCTGTGGCCTCTCACCATGCTGACCCCGGATGGAGCCCGGCTCTCTGGAGCTGCTGTTCAGGTCAGGTCTCCCCATACATAGCGGGTGGGTCCCTGGTTAGAAGAAACAACTGGCCGGGGGTGGGGACTTACCTTGCGGCCCTGAGGGCTATCTGGTAGGTAGCACTGCCGGGGAAAGCCTCGGGCAGTGAACGGTTTCCCAGGGCTGGGGTGCTCCGGTCCCTGTGAGAGGAACGGGACATCGTGATGGCAGGACTGTGGCTGGCCACAGCCAGTCGGCATGGCCTCCTGCCACTGGCCCGGCAACCTTGTCTTCCCTAAGACACTCAGAAGGCCACCAGGGGTGAGGACGGCACTCCTGCCTCGAGTGCCTTTCTTCATGACCCCCTGAATCAGGTTTCTGACATGGAGCCTCAGGATTGAGTCTCTTAGGAACAAGGGGCCTGCCCCACTCTTCAGCCTTCCTGGCCCGCACCCCACCACCTACACAGCACACTCGTGGGCCCCCAATTCTCCAGGCCCCAACAGTACTCTTCATGTTTTAAGCTTGGCTGACTCCTCCTATGGGGAGCTCTCATTCACTCAGAGAGGGGCCAAAGGACTCCATTACTCAACACCCCAGCATTCCTCTAGACGGGGTTATCCTGACCCTGGACTGGGTGCAGGCGGTGTGAGTGCGCTGGGCAGGAAGCGGGGCGTCAGGAATGGTGATTCTGGCCAGGCCCCTCACCTGGATGCCATGAGGGATATTGTAAACAATGAGGATGGTCCCACAGTCTTCGTGGCCTGGCAGGGACATGTGGAACCTGAACACCTCCATCTTCCCCCAGGGCTGCGTTCCAGTCTTCTCCCCATAGATGGTTTTGCAGGACGGACACTGCAGACTCCCATCCTAGAGAGGGGGATGAGACAGAATGAGCCCGAGTCCCAGCCCACAGGACAGCCACGTCCAGAGAGCATGGCTGACTCTGGCCCATGCAGCCTCTCTGAAAGGAACCTGGACCTCAGTGGTGCACTGTGTACAAAGTCCTGATTCTCAATCAGTAGACACCAGACCAGCACGTGGCCGGAAAATGAGGGTCAAGTCCCACTTAGTCACTTTCACAGACCTCCCTGCACATGGCTGTCACGAAGTGGACAAGGAAGTGGGCCTCAGTGCCCACTGTGTGACTTGGTTCCCACTCCCACAGGCCCAGGCTGATTAACAGACAGCAGCTGGGTCAGCTGCTCCGGGCCTGAGGGCTCTGCCTGTGTGACATGACATGCAGCCTGCAGTGAGGAGTGGACTCTAGACAGACACAGTTTTCCGTTTGATTTAGCTATTTATTATTAATTTGTGTGCGTGCATGTGGGGGCTAGCAGACAACTTATGGCTCTGTCCTTCCGTCTTTACATGGACTCGGGATTAGACTTGTTCTGGAAGCTCTTCTACATGCTTGCCCTGTTTGTTGTCTGAGGCAGTCTTAACGCAGTCCAGGCTGGCCTTGCACCCGAGCCTCTAGCATGAATGTCCTCAATGCTGAGAAAGCAGGTGTCCATGTGTGCAGTCCTGAGCCAGTTCATCTGTGCATGGCTTACTATTCAGAACTCTCATACAAGACATGTGCAAATGACATACATGAAAGTTGTAGTGTGTAGGAGACAGAGCCCTAAAGCTCAGAGAAGCCTAGGATCCCTCCTGCAGGCAAGCTGGAGGAGTCATGTACTTTTAGCCCTGTCCAACATAGTCCTAAAGCTTGGGGTGGGGCTCAGGGTCCCAGATGTATACTCAAAAACATCTTTTTCTGATGCTGTGGGTGGAATTCAAGAGCAAGTGCTCTACCACTGAACCACGCCCCCAGCCCCTCATTGGAGGATTCTAGGCAGATGCTCTACCACTGAGCCATGCCCCCAGCCCCTCACTGGGGGATTCTAGGCAGATGCTCTACCACTGAGCCATGCCCCCAGCCCCTCACTGGGGAATTCTAGACAGGGACTCTACCACTGAGCCACACCCCCAGCTCCTCACTGGGGGATTCTAGGCAGGAGCTCTACCACTGAGCCACGATGCTGGCCTAGACCTTTATTAGTCTAATCAGGGGTGATCCCAAGCCTTGTCACCTCATAGCTTAGCAGCTGCCCTTCAGCCTGCTGCTTTACTAGCACCAAAGCTATCTTTTTGTTCTTTTTTCTTTTTTTGGTTTTTCTTTTTCTTTGGTCTTTCGAGACAGGGTCTCTCTTCTGTGTAGCCGGGCTGTCCTGGAACTCACTCTGTAGACCAGGCTGGCCTCAAACTCAGAAATCCGCCTGCCTCTGGCTCCCAAGTGCTGGGATTAAAGGCGTGCGCCACCACCGCCCAGCCCAAAGCTATCTTGACTACTTCTTTGCTTTGTTTTCTTGAGACAGAGTCCCTATCTATAGCTCAGGCTGTCCCAGAACTTAATGCTTCTATTGCTTCAACTCCCACAGCACTGAGATCACAGGTGCCTGACACCATACTGAGGCAGTAGGGTCAAAAAGAGCCATGGGGACCGGTCCCTGCGCCCTACCCAGACCAACTATAGTACCTTGTTCCCGTTGCAATACATGGCCAGCAGGCACAGCAGGTGGAAGGCATGGCTGCACTTGGTGAGGCGGCCCACGACCATGGGCCCGAGGACTTTGCTGTCAGTCACATCACTGTACCCAGAAGCCACTGACAGTTTCTCCATACAGATGATGCAATCCTGCAGGGAAAACATAGCACACACTTGCCACTGTGTGCCCACTTTATGGTGACAGTGAGCCAATGCAAGGAAGAAAGTCCTGGCTCTGTAGAAGAAGGGGATAGCAGGCCATCAAGTCAACCCACAGATTATTCTAGAACATAGGACCACGTATGTATCTCTCACCTATGTCCTTGAAAAGCTGACCAAAACCCACAGGCCATGAGGCGAAAAGAGCCACCCAATGGTTCTTACTACAGACAAGAGCCAGAGATGAAAGGGGGCCCTCAGACAAGGTCACCTTGTTCCTTCACAAAGCTGGCCTGAGCAGAGTCGGATGGTCATGCCTACCCAACAGGCCTGAGGGGACAGCACACTACTGGGGACCTCAGCTTGACTATGAGGTGAGAATGAGCTCTAGCCACCTCATCTTAGTGATGGCTAACCATGAGAGGCTGGAACCAGTGTCAGCCTCTTGCAGACCCTGAGGGCTGGGATCCTCCTGCTAGGACACATACCTCTTCAGGGGCCACTTTCAGCTCCTCAGTGTACTTTCTGATCACCTGCTCCGGCTCGGGCTTAGGCATCCCTTCTGGAAGAGAATGGGATGTGAGTGCTGTCCCAGGCATGCAAGCTGGGGAGAGCAATGCTGAGGGAGGAAGGAAGGAGGCAGGCAGGCAGGCAGGCAGGCAGGCAGAAGCTCCGGCTGCGAAGAGGAAAGGTTAGCAGGGCTGAGACAAGAGAGTTAGCACAGGACACCGACACCTGACCCAGGCTACCTGCTTACAGACAGGGCTGATCCAACAGGGGAGATCACAGAAGCAGAGGATCTGTAACTGACCAGTATGGACTCCTGAGCAATGTCTCCCCAGGAAACCACCCCAAAAATGTCAAAGATACTTGCTCAGAGAGCAAAGCACCCCAGGAGATCCTGGCAGTGTTGCCTTTCCAACTGTCAACTCTCTTTTGTAGAAATTTCTGTGAGAGGTTGTTTCTAGTCTAGCAAGCGTGGGGAGGGGTGACGTGAGCACCTGTGTGCACTGAGAATGCTGTCACACCTCACCAAGTGCCCCTGGGAATGGCTGCTGGCTGTGCATGAGGCTTAGAGGAGCCCTGAGGCAGGGACCAGACCTCTCCAAGGAACAAAAGAGTTGGGACAGAGTAGGCAGCAGGGTCTCAGAGTCTCAGCCAAGCCAGAGAAGGGGCAGAAAAGGGACCAGGGAGAAGAATGTAGGGATGAAGTAGACACTCTGCCAGGGCTCCACTGTCACCAGAGGTCACAGTGGACTCCTGTTTGAGGCCATCTTGAAGCCCTCAGCTCATGGCTGCAGATTTATAACCTGAGAGCCGGACCATAGGACCCCTCCAGCACAGAGAAGCAGGTGAAAACCACACGGCAAGGCTGGAATCAGGGGACATAGCGCTTGATCTAGTTCATGTGTTATGACCAAATCTGACCACCTCGGAGACCCTAGACGTTGCCGCTGATAGGAGGTTTCAGCTGTTAGCTCCTGGGGAATATAGAAACCAGCAGAAGGCACTCACACACCTCATATGTCTTATACTCACCAAGGCACACAGACACACACCCCTACCTCTCACATTCCTGGCAAACACCCATATTCTGGCCACTGGCAAAGAAACCAGACAAAAAAATCAACAGTCTTAAGCTACCACAGAGGGGATCAGAGAGCCTTTCAGAAGAGCGCGTCAGTCAGGCCTGGTGGTACAACGCCTTGCAGTAGCCTTGGGCAAACAGCAATCATTTGTCTCAAAAACTGCCCTGTGGCTACAGAGGTCTCGGGAACCCTCTTCCAGCACTAGCCCCTGACCTCCCTCTGTTTGAGACCAGCTAAGCATGTCGCTGCCCACTTGCCCACACAACTTTCAAGAGCTGAAAGGAGCTTTGGTTACCAGCATTGCAGGGGCACCTACACCCAAGAAGGCCACACGTCTGTGTTCCTCCCCAACACACTGGGTATACCAAGAAGCTGCCAGCCTGTCCTGTCCACAAATCTGCCTCTACAGAAGCAGAATACAAGAGTGTGCGGACAACTAGGACTTTTACCTTAGCTGGTAGACTGCTTGCCTGGCATGCACAGAGCCTCCCTGGGTTCTAACTCAACGCTACATGAACTGGACGTGGTGGGAGATGCCAGCAAGATGATCAAAGTTCAAGGTCAGTGAGGTCATCTGAAGAGACGGCAGCATCACAACCTGCACCAACACTGCAAAGCCCCACATCCTCAGTGACAAGCCCATCACCCAACAGAGCCGATGGGGAAACACCAGCAGCCATCTGTGCTGGCAGACAGAGCAGGGAGAAGAGGTGCAGAAGAAGAAAAGGGCCACGGTGGGCAAAGGAGAGAGTCCAGGCAGCAAGGTTTGGAGGAAGCTGAGCAGGGCTAGAGAGTGTGTGTGAACCGGAACTACCTTTTACGGACATTTTCCTCAGCCTCTTAACTGAGCTGTGACTTTTAGAGGCCGGACGGGAGGCGGGAGGGCCGGTGGGCCGGGGTGCACGGCTAAGACACACAGGGAGTCCAATGGCTGACAGCACACTCGTCATGCCTGCACGGGTGCGAGATCAGACATGCAGAGGGGACAAACATTAGAAGGAGGCATTTCACACTCGGTGTTCATGACCCTGCTGAGAGTGAAGTGGTGACACTGTGCATGGCCATCGAGACCAAAATCTCCTCAGGAGAAGGGAGCTGATCACTGGAAGGGCGCCAGTGCCTTACCAGACCAGCAGTGCAGTGCTCCAGGCCAGCCACCAAAGAACCTGGACTCCAAGTTCCCCAGGAGTCTGCACAAGCAACTGCCAAGCCTGTGCCCACAGTATGTGGGGACAGAGTAGAGGACAAGGACGGTGGCTTCACAAGAGCAAGGGGAGAACAGCCCAGGGGCCTCCTGCGTGGCGTCTCCCATGCCGAGCACAGGGAAGGAAGAGACAGGAATATGGCAGGGGGAAGCCAAGCTGTGACAACAGGGGTAGTCCCAGCAGTGCTGGCTCCAAGAGCCTGGGGCCTTCCCTTGACCCTTTCTTTGCTAGAGCCACTCTGCCTGGCTGTCCCCTCCCCTTGTGGCATGTGATCACCTGGCCTCTATCGAGATGCTTTCCACCAGCTGCCCCCAGCCCTTCTGGACTGTGTGTAACCGCGGCTGACACCAAGTGTCAACCTGACAGGCTCTAGACCCAGCAGGAGACATGCCTAGGAACACAACTTGAGTCTCCAGAGTAACTGGACTAACTGAGCAAAGATCGCTCTGACCATGGGCAACTCTGTCCCTGGGCTGCTGTCTGGACTGACAGAAGGAAAGGAAACTAGGCCACCAGTACTCATCTCTCCGGTTTCCAGACTGGGATGTGTCGTGACCAACTGCCTTCCCCGGCACGACCTCAAACTGAGACAAAATAAACCTAATTCTTCCTTCCTCTCTCCTCTAGCTCTGTCTGTCTGGTTTTCTGTCACAGGGGGGTGTAAAGTAACTGTACACAGCTTCAGTGACACTACTGAGGGGGGCCCGCTCCCCCAGTGAAGCCACCCCAGAGCCCCCAGCTGTGGCTTCCTTCATCTACTGGGAAAATCTGCAATAGGCACTGATGTGGACACTGGACAGGCTCCTGGCTCCACAGGACGACCCCACTGGGACCCATACTTTCCCCAGATGGACACTTCCCTGTGGATGTTCCTTCTCTGCATTCTCTGGTAACCTGACACTTCCTGGGAAAGAATGTTCTATTGCTGGAGGTCCTTGTCCCTTCCACACTGTAACCTGCCCCCCCACCACACCACACACACACACACACACACACACACACACACACACACACACACAGAAACACAAGTAAGTTCTCCCAGTTCTCCCAGCTCTTAGTCTGATTCCAAAGGCCCTCCTTCCAGGAATGGGTGCCCTGGCTTCTTAGCCACCTTGCTGATACTTCCCTGGTCCTCTGAACAGGCCTCCAGAGCTGGCCCAGCCCTCCCACCCCCATGCCTTTCTAGGACAGGTTGAACACAGCACAGCAGAGGTGCTGAGGAAGAGCTGGGAGCAGCCAGGACCACCGCTCTCAACCAGGTAATGAGTAGGCGGTGCTGGGGACAGAAGTAGAGGCCAGTTACCACCTGGGCAGCACAGCAGAGGCAGGCTGGGGACTGTGTGGTGGTCTCTCACTAGGAGGCACCAAAGTGCACACAGGAGAGGCTTACTGGGTGGGGCCACCAGAGTGGGTCATCCCACTCTAAGGATCCGGGGCTCAAATGCAGTTGCCACAGGAAATGGGAGTTTGTGGCAAAAGGACAAGGAGGTGCAAGTGGCAGAAAGATGAAAGGAAGAGTGAAGGATTAGCTTTCCTTAGGAAAACCCTGATAGTTACTCTCTCTGCCTCCTGACTGTGCAATGTGACCGGACGCCTCACATGTTCACTGCTATACATATACCTGCCATGAAGAACTGGACCCATAAATCAAAATAAAAGCGCTCCACAGTCCAGTCTCAGGCCAGGTATTTAGTCACACGGCAAGGAAAACCAACACAGTGACGCTTCTCTCACATCCCAGGGGCTGAGCAACTGTGCTCTCAGCTGGGAGGCGTCACTGTGCACACTGTGGTGAGACCCCATGTCACCACCACCTCGGCCTCTTCACTGTGTGCCTTTTTTTTTCACCTAGCTATCCAAACTCCCTCAGGCTTGTATCATGTCCTCAGCATGAGCCCCACACGATAAAGGCGCTCCTGACCTACTGCTGTCTGCTCAGTATCCCAGGCACATACCTATGCAAGAGGCACTGTACATATCTACAGAGGAGCACCGAGATCCCCTGGACCACCACTGTCAGACCCCAGGAACCACGTCTCATGCTTCCTGCCCCTCTGACAGTGTCCAAGCCCTACCATTCCAGTCACACACACAAAAAAAAACCTACACAGGAATAAAGAAAGGCCCCTGGGGTGGGGATGTGGCTCAGTCGGCAGGGTGCTTGTCCAGGGTGCTGATTTCCATCCTTAGTGCTTCATAAACTGGCTCCCCTCTAATTCCAGCACTTAAGAGACTGAGGGCGGGAAGATCTGGAGTTCTGTGCCCTTCCCCCAGCCTTGAGCAGGCCTGAGAGACCTAGTTTATCACACCAGACCAAATAATAGGATCTAGATGGACTTACCCACCTTGGCTGCATGACATAGACACCTAGGTGGAGTCACCCACCTTAGCTGCACTTACAGCCTGCTACAGGAACTGAGAAGAATAACTGCCCGCTGAGCTTGCCTGGAGACATCTCCGGCCAGCCTTGACCAAGAACGGATTATCCCACCCATCTCTCCAGTTGAAACTAAGAAGGGTTCGGGCGGGGCCTTCCCCTTTAAATTGAAAAGCCAAACATTAAAGCATTGAGCCTTGATCCGAGACCTTTGTCTTGGCTTCATCTCTTCTCTTCTTGCCTCCGTCCCCATTCGTTCCCAGCCCCTTTCAGGTGAACTTGGTTGACTCGCGGCAGCAGGCGGCTACAGAGTTCACAGGCATCCTCAGCTACACTGAGTTTGAGGCTAGCCTGGGCTATGAGACTGTTTCAATAACAAAAAGTTCCCACTTCAAAGTTACGTAACAATGAAACAGGAACACCAGGGGCCATGCCGTGCTATTGTCACAGCCACAACACTATCCGACAGCCGACAGATGACTTCTCCCACCTAACACAACCTCTCCAGATACCAAGTTCAAAGGGTCTTCCTTCCAAATGGTTGAACTAAATTAAAGCTCCTCCTGCACCCCACTGAGATAGACTTTCCCTAGGCGTGAAGCGAGGCCAGGCCGCATGTGAGTTCCCTGTCCACAAGCTTGCGACATCTAACTAGCCAGTGCAACCATAGGGACCTACTCACTGAACAAAAACTCAGCTGTCTAATTCCCTCTATCAGCTGTAAAGGACCAAGAGCCAGTGCACTGTTCTGTCTTCATCTAAAATAAATTTTCTTGCCAAGCATGGTGGTGTATCCCCTTAACCACGGCACGCGGGAGGCAGAAGCAGGCAGACAGATCTGTGAGTTCAAGGCTGGCCAAGGCTACGTGGGGAGAACCACTTCCAAAATAAGTAATTTTTAAAGAACATTTCTTTTTAATTGTCTCTTTGTGCTGTGTTTGAGTTTGTGCACATGAGTGTCACTGCCTACAGAGGCCAGAGTGGGAGCTGGAGTTACAGGCATTTGTGAGCTGCCCAGTGTGTGTGCACAGGACCAAAAAATTCCTTTAAGTGTATGAGTGTTCTGCCTTCACAGATGTATATTACCATGTGTGTGCCTGGTGCCTGCAGGTCAGAACCGAACACTGGAACTGCAGTTACAGAGGTGGCTAGCCTGTCACGTGGGTGCTGGGAACCAAGCCTAGGTCCTCTACAATAGCATCAAATGCTCTTAACTGCTGAGTCATTTCTCCAGCCTGGCTTCCTTCCCGAACACCCCTTAAGTAGCAAATGACCTCAGTAGTTCCCCCAAAAAGGTCTCCTAAAGTACCAGTGTACATGGTTAGAGATCTTGAGTCTCTCCCAACAAAGCCAAGGGCACCCACACTTCCTCTAAAGATAGCTCTCCCGAAATGGACAGCCATATTCAAGGTATTCTGGGATCCACCTGTCTATGGCACAGCCATCACCCCTGTCAATGCTCTTGACATAACTCAGGACATCGATGCACCACAAAGTAGCTAAAGGAGGCCTGGAGAGGCAGCTAAGTGGTTAGAGCACCAGCTGCTCTTCCAGAAGTCCTGAGTTCAATTCCCAGCAACCACGTGGTGGCTCATGACCATCTATAAAGGGATCTGATGCCCTCTTCTACCATGTAGGTGTACATGTAGACAGAGTACTCCTACATCTAAAAAATAAATTAAGTAAATACATAATACTAAGAATTGCACTGTGTCTTACTTAGCACAAAGTGGGTATAGAAAAAAAAGAAAGAAAACAGAGAGAGAGAGAGAGAGAGAGAGAGAGAGAGAGAGAGAGAGAGAGAGA